ACTCCTCTACGGCCTCGCCCCTTGCGTCCGTCCTGGGGGAACCCCACGCAATGGACTTTGCGTTGAAGTCCTCCAGCACAAGGACGTGCCCAGACGCTAGTCGCCGTATCGAGGTCTCCAAGCTGGTTAGGAAAACCTCGAAGTCGTTCAAACTCCGGTTGGGGGAGAAATAAACACCATATATGGTGATCCCCCCCCACTCGACGGCAACATATCCAGTGCCCTTGTCTCTTAGCGACAAGGGCGGGGAATGAGCCGTCGTGGAACCGACGACTGCCACGGAGCCGTCCCAGTCACCCATCCAGTTTGGACGGGGAGGGACAGAATAGGGCTCCGCGACTACGGCAACACCTATCGACCACTGTGCCATGGTTTGCAGGAAGAGATCCTGCGCCGCGGCACAGTGGTTCAGGTTCGTCTGGACCAGGAGGTTGGAGACTTGATCCATTACTGGATCGTCTCTACAACCTCCTCCATGGGCGACGACGTCGACGCAATATTGACGTCGGGGGTAGCCTGGGTCGACTGGCTAGCCCCTGACGTCTGCCGAGAACTGCGGGGAGGCTTGCAGCCTCACTGCCCCATCTGGTGATTGGCGGGCTTATTGCCCGCCGCACACGCTGGGCAGTGAGGGGCGGCAGAGCATTCTGCCGCCTTATGCCCCGGTTGGCCGCAGCGGAAACACAGTCCGCCGCAGTCAAAACAGCTGTCGCACTTGACGCGCGTGTGTCCCGATGCTAGGCATTTGTAGCACCTCATCGGTCTCGCCGCCAGGACTGTGATCCTGGCGCTCACGAAACCGATGAGCAGCCTGCCGGCGTCGGCCAATACTTTGGCCGACGCTACGGGACAGCTGACCCACACGGCGCCAAGCCCTCCTGGACCGGGGCGGATGGTGCCGACCCTGACGTTGTCCGCGCTGCACCCCGTCTTCTCCCGGATTACAGCGCGGATATCTTCGGCCGTCACTGAGTCGTCCAGGCCCGAGATGCGCAGTTCCGCGCACTTGGTAGGCCTGGCGACCCTGACACCATCTGTGGTCGCAAATATTCCCCGCAGCCTCTCAGCAAAGGAGTCCGCCGTCTTTGCGCCTTCAGCCCCAGGGAACTCGAGGACTCGAGCTCCCGTCTGGGCGAGGCGTATCCTGACCCCCACCGTCCCAAAATCGTTGGCCAGGCTGTCCCGGGCCTTTTTGAAGACGGCCGCGTAGGACAGCCCGCCGTCAGCCGCCTCCGGGGACACGGTCACCACTACAGCCGCGGTTTTGGGCGGCTGCAGCTTCCGCGGCCTCTTTGTGGAGGCCGTTGCCACCGGTGGCGAAGGCTGGGCTTGGGCTGCTTTTTGGGCAGCCCTTCTGGCCCGCCTTCGGGACTTCTTGGAGCCCCTCGCCTCCTGCCAACCCTCGTTGGAGGGGGCAGGTGCGGAGGGGCCCGGCAGGGGTGTCGGAGTGGGGAGCGGAAGGAATGCCACTCCGCTCCTCGGCGCCGTTTTAGGCCCCGTCTTGGCCGGCACTTTGGCCTGCGCTTTGGCCGGCGCCTGGGACGGTGCCTTGGCCGGCGCCTGGGCCGGTGCCTTGGCCCCCCTCCTCGGCTTTTGGGGAGCCGATGGAGTAGGGGCAGACGCCGCCGCCGCGTAAGAATCGCGGCCTCCCACCACGGGGAGCGCGGTCGGAGCGGCGGCCTTAGGCCGCTGTGCCGACGCGAGCGGGGGGCGCATAATCGGCGCAGGGGGCAGTCTCGCCTCCAGGCCAGCCAGGCGTCCGTCCAGCATATTCCCAACTGCGATGAGGATTTCTCGCAGTTGGGAGTCAAATGCCCCTGAGTTGGTGGTAGGGGCAGGCTGGGACGCGGACGGGGCTTCCCGCTCGGGGAGGTTTGCCTGGAAGCGGGCGAACTGAGCGCTCAGCTCGTTCACCCGCTCCGTCAGCCTCTCGTTGGCCACCTGTAGGCGCGAGACGTCGCCCACTAGGCCCTCCACGACCTCCGACAAAGCGGAGGAGGAGTCCTTGAGGGCCCTCACAAATGAGCCCTTAAGGTTCACGGACTTGGTGGCCACCTTGTGGATGACGGCCACCGCCGCTTTCGCCCTCTCCTGCACGGACACGGGAGCCTGGGGGGCATTTCCCCCCACCGGCTCCCGAACCTTGAGCAGGAGATCCGCGATCTCCTCCTCCGCTACGGCCTCGCCGTCCACTCGTACGTTCCTGTAGGACTCCGCGTTTGAGACCGAGGCCGGTTTACGTGCCCTCCCTCGGCGGCTGCTTGCCACTTTTGGTGGCATCATTTCGCTGGACGTGTCGGTCTCCTCTTCCCTGGAGCGTCCGCGTTTCCGGCTGTCGCTTCGCTCCGCTTCCATGGCCTCTGCGCCATCCGATGAAACGGCGGATCCGGAACGAATACGATCCGATGCTCTTCGGCTCCCAGAGACCAGCGTCAGACTGACTTCTGGGAGCCCCATCGAGATAGGCGTTCCCGACGCCACCTCACCCTCAGTGGACGACCCATCCGCTCCACTGTTCTGTTTCTCCTTCCTGCGGTTTGCTTCCTTTTCCGTTAGGCTTGCCTGTTTTCGTTGTGTTTGTCCGATCGTTTTTTTTAAGTTTTTGTTGATATTTTCCATAATAATCCCACGAGTGGGGGAGAACTATAGGTCCACCCGGGCAGAGATCCCCCATTACCCGGGCAAGCGTAAGTTTTTAACCCAACTGAGGGGTTCGCAGGTACCTCGGCTTGGAGTGCGCTCGAGACTGAACTTCCCATCAGCCATGCATCCCCTGGCCACGCACCAGAACACGGGATTCGGGGAATTTTTTAGAGAGGTTATCTTCCTCGCGGTCCGGGCGGTTAAGCCAAGACCCTCGCCCCCGATCAGAGCCGCGAGACTTAACCACAGCGCTCTTCTCGGGATTACGATATGCCGACGGTTGACAGGGAGACTACGTCCCCCTGCCTGCTCGGTGGTAGTGTCAGTACACGCCGAGCCCGTCCTCCTTTCTCCACCGCTGTCAGCGGAGAAACTGTGGCCCCTACAGGGCCCCGCCATCCGGTTTTTTACCGAGGTTTCCTCCTCCATGCTCCGAAGAGCGAAGAGCCAGCAGGGCAACCGGCAGACACGCCCACCCTGCTGGACCAGGCCTTGCCCGAGAGCCGATGAACGGCTACCTCTTCTGCTAGAATATTAGCCGCTGGCGATAATCCTCTCCTCCAAGAGGACAAGGGGGAAACAGTACCATCGCCAGCGTTTCCAGGGTGCACCACGGGGAGGTTTTCTAGCCTAGCACCCCGTACTTATGTTAACCCTTGGTAACCTGTTTACAGCAATGACAACGCATTTGTGACAGCCAGTGTGTCATTGGCATTGACATCAGACAGACTATAATATGTAAACTATAAACTCAAAAACCGTTTGAACGCCATGTTATGAAAACCTGGTAATTAAAACTGTACGGCGGTAGTTAAGTACATGCCTGCCGTTGTAATTTGGTATACATATAGCTTGAGTCCCGGGAGAGGATATTGGCTAGTTTTTATCCCAGAAATCATTCTTGTGGTGGAAGTTTCTATGGGAATTAAATAACCACTGAACCGATTTGGTTGAAATTTAGTATGGAGATAGTTTTATTCTTGAGAAAGGACATCGGACTACTATTTATCGTGGGAGAGCCATGCTTCGGCATGAATGGACCGGCTCAACCGGAGTGATACCATGGCCTTACAGAAAACCGGTGTTAAGCATTTCTTTCGTTGCTTTTTACTGAGTAAGTTAGGTTACCGCCCAAATCCAAATACCGACTAACATACGCGAGCACAGCCGCGGTAAAATCTTATTATATTATTAAATTATACAAGTAAGATTGGAGTTTACTCGAATTAAGTAGTTTTTCGATTCGAGATTCGCGTTTAGTCGTAATTTATTTCACATCACATCAACAGCCTTTAACAGTCCACTGCTGGACATAAGCCTCTCCTTGGAAAGAAGGTTTTGGCCCACTATACCACGCTGGCCAGACGGGTTGGCATAGGCTTTCTTTCAAGGTTTCCTTCTCTCTGCAGTGCTGTTGTTTTGCGTTGTTTTTCCCTTAGTCGGCTCTTACGACACCCACAGGATGAATAGGGGTGGTGATACTCTGTATTCTTAATCCGTCAGTAAGTAATTTATTTAAAAGAGGTTTACTTATAAATGGTCTCCGCCACTTTTCCTTATGCTTTTATAAACAGTGATATAACATAATTCTTCTTAACCATACGCCATTACGTTTAAATAAAACAAATTTAATTGAATAAAAATATTTTTTATTATGTTAAGTGTAACAGTGTCCAGTTCTTGTTAATAAAACTAATAAAAATGTATCCTGAAAATTGATTATTTTCAGGATACAGAGATCTATAACAGCCAAATGAAATCAATAAAAAAACAAAGCACCTAAGTAGTCGATTTGACTACTTTATTGATTTGATTATGTAGTCGATTTAATTACTTAGTCGATTTGACTATTTCGTCGATTTGAATGCTTAGGAAATAAAAGACTACATGTTTTTAATATAACTAACTTGATTTAGTTCAATATATATTTATGTAGTACAAAGCAGGTATAACCTTTCTTCATTTGTAAAATATAATCTAACTGCAATATATTGTTAAAACTTAATAACGAAGAAATTAAGTATTTAGTCGATTTGACTGCGTATTCGATTTGACCACGGAGTCTATCTGAATTTATATCAATTTCACTACTTAGTCAAATATACATCGAAACATATATTATATTAAGTATTACCAAACCTCTTGATTTACAATCAAATTAAATTTGTCAAGAACAAATTAACCACGTAGTCGATTTATCTTTTTAGTCTATTTAACTACGTAATCGCTATGACAACTCGGTTAATAGTTAAACCGATTACGTAATCAAATGGATATGTGGTCGAAAGACTACCTATTCGATTTAACTTCGTAGTCGATTATACTACTTAGTCGATTTGATTCGACTACTTGGTCGATTAGACGGCCTTTTCGACAACATCATCGTTGTTGACAACAGTCAATGGCGGCGATGTGCCCGTGTATCTATGCACGTGACGAATATGTTTAACGACATAATGCCGGCATTTGTACGAACGGTTACATATATCGCACTTGTACGTCAAGTTGCTGTGACATGTTAGCTTGTGCATGTGTAAGCCGTTGTTGGCCTTGAACGTTGACGGGCAGAGGTCGCACTGTGGAGATAAAAAATAAAATATTGCTCAATCAATGAATGTTCCGGCCGTACCGGATCAGCAAGCTAAAGTGGCAGTGCGCTGGCCATATTAGCCGCAGAACCGACAACCATTGGGGGAAAACGAATTTTTCAGTGGCATAAATGTAGAACAAAACAAAATATCTTTGCAAAATAAAAATTAAAAATACTTAGCCCCGCGGGCACCCCTCAATTTTACAATCACATCAACAGCCTTTAACAGTCCACTGCTGGACATAGGCCTCTCCTTAGAAAGGAGGTTTTACAATGATTCTACTTATCTCTGATAATACTTTCAATACTCTGAGAGACATGAATGAGAAAATCGGTTTTAAACTTCTGTCGCCAGCTGCCGGTCTACTAAAAGAACTCATTATTCAAAGGTTATTATTATTATTTAGGGGATCTTTTGGTTGGAACATGGGGTTCCCACACGGGGGGGGGGGGGGTCGTCTACTCGTCTGTAGATGACCCGAGGTATGTCGGGGCACCAGGGACTTCCTTTCTAGGGTATACCTGGTTCCCCGGCTATTAGTACCCGAGACGGCGTGCGGTTTTAGTCGGTTCGAGTCCGACATGCCACCGACAGGTGGTATCCGAGGGGATTTCCGCACGGAAAAAAAAAAGGGGATCTTTTGGTAGGAGGGGTTTTTCTCACTTTAATCAATTTTTCCGTCCTATGGGACTGCCTGTGCTGCGCCAGAAGGTATGCCGCATGGAACTTGGCTCCGCACTCCTCGCACACGAAGGGTTTCTCATCACGATGTCGGCGTTCGTGGTTCTGGAGAAAGAGAGGCCCGCTAAATTAAAATCTTCGTGGAAATTGCAGACTGAGTATTCAATATAGGATATGTTGCAGATGTGGTGGACGATAATGCTGCTATTACCCCGGACAGCTCACCGCATCAACGCATACATCCACAGTGAACTGGAAGTCCGAGGGCACCTATCCTATCCTATACCTACCTTAAAGAAAGAAGGAAAGAATAAACGTTTATTATGGCAATAACACAACACTTTAGACAATTTTGCAGCTTGAATTACCACCGATGCCAAAAACGGACCCAATTCAGCTTTGTGTCAGTGTACTTCGATCACATTGCAAGGACAGGCTGACGAGGTCAAGGTCGAAGGGAAAAGACTTAAGAGGCCGAGACCCACTGCGCTAGTCAGATCAAGTTTGCTCTACGATCCATACTGCACACTACTACTACTCCTGTCTTGAACACTACACACTGCTCAACACAGGAACGGGTGGCGAGCTATTACTCGTAGAATAGCATAGGGTCATGACCCTCAGAATTGAGGATAACGACATAAGGAGGAGGATGTTACAGTCAAAACTCTGAACCTTTCAAAAGGGTTTTTAATGAGGAAAATCAGTAAAAATTCATGATTCATCAACAATAGAGGGCATCTGGTTAATGGGTACTGTTCTAACCTAACCCAAATGATTCAATAAGAGTATATGGTATAGCAGTTACAAGTACTATTGCCCAATGCTGCTTAAAAATACTTCTGACCGGTTAAGAGTTCTGACAGCACAGATATACTACTATCTTCTATCTTTCGTGTGTTCAAACTGTCTGCCATTCTCACAAAAAATATCTTACATGGTCCTATTGAAGTGATGTTAAAAGAGATATATCCTACCTTCATAGCCATAGTACTAGCGCTTTGGAACTCGCAATAATGGCACTGGAACTTCTCGTAGCCATGCTTCGCTCTGTAATGCTCGTTCAGACGGAACTTATTGCCGAAGTTTTTGCCGCAGTGCTGAGGAAATAATGTCAATCAAAGTCATGGGCGTAGCCACGGTGGGGAAGGGTGGGGTACTTGCCCCACCCTGGCTCTGACCTGAAGGTACCTAAGCAAACCTAAAAAATTAAATTATCTAGGTACTGACTTGGCATACGCCCAGAGCCCAAACGGCTGAAGTTAGAGACACATTTTTGGATGGAAGATTTGGTGGTGTAGCTAGGGGAGCAATAAGAAAGTGTTTTGGATAATTCGAATTATTCATACGAGTACAGATACAGGGTGCTATAGGGTGTAACCTTTTTGTATGAAAAAATAAACGGGGGTGCGACCGCGGGTATAGTTTGCTAGTTGCATATTATTTTAGACTTCTGCCCCACCCATGGCTAGCTACGCCCATGATCAAAGTAACAATGTCCTGTGAAATTTCGAAGTAGATGTTTTGTCCTAGTGGCGTCTATAACTGCGGGAGAATGGTGTTTCGGCACATATATGGCCCAGGTGTACCAGAGTGATATCACGGGATCACAGAAAACTGGTATTAACCAATACTTTCGCTGCTGTTCTCCAAATGAGTGAGGTTTCTGTAGTAAGAACACCTAGACTTAGAACAACAATTTGTGGATCACACAAAGTGTCGTCCCATGTGGGGATCGAACCCTACAACACTCAGCCTAGTAGTCAACCACTTCGACATCCGTGCAGTCGAGTTAAATTATCTAACAAATTTCATCGGTTTGAAAAAATAAGTACTATTGATTACCATATTTTAAAGTGGAATAGCCCTAAAAGCCACTTCATCTTACCTTACGAAGGTAAATCGAAATCGAAGTTCATTCATTGCTTTTCACTGAATCCCCTGATTCGGGGGGGAGGGATTGAAAGGGCGTCAACGCACTTATGATTCTTGAATTGCAGTTGTCCATGGGTGGAGCTAGTCACTTGCCATCAGGCTACCAGTCTGCTCGTTTGCTCCCCCTATATCATAAAAAAAAGGTAGGAATCTCAAAGGTATCCTCGTTCTCAGAAGTCACTCACCTCACAGACAGGCTTCAAGCCAGCATGTTTCACAGCCTTGTGCATCCGAAGACTGGCCTTCTGCATCACCTTGTGACATTCATCACACTCTCGGAGCTCACGACCCTGGGAAGGCACGTATCACACCCTGGATTTCAGTCCAACTTTTTCCGTCCCTCAGACAGTATACTTGGGTAGGCGGGCCCGTAAACCACGCTGTCCAGACGGGTTGGTATAGGGTTTGTGTCAAGTTTTCCTGTTCTTTGCAGTTCTGTTTCCCTGCGCAGTTTGTTCCCTTAGTCTGCTCTTACGACACCCACGGGATGATTAGGGGTGGTGACACTGTTTTCTGAATCCGTCAGCACAGGCACTTGCTTTTGCTTTTTGACGTGGCTACCTATCTGGCTGGCTGGGCCGTTATCTTGCCTAGAGAGTTAACAGAAATAGGTCCCTCCTTCTAGTAAATGCGATGAGTACTTTCAAAAGAAAAAAAGAGAGAATCATGGAAATTCACTTAAAAGTCAACTGTTTACACAAACTATACAAAAATTGAAAAGATAGAAACCATTAAAAAAATAAATAAAGAATAAAAGATTAAAAAAAACAACTGCCTGCTAAGAAACACACACAGCCGCCATATTGTTTTGTTTTTGAAATAATATCCAGTGTCACCATGTATGAGAATTTGGAAATTTAAATCTGTGCAGGTATTTAGAAAATATAGTGGAATAAAGAAATACAATCATCCACAGACCCTAAAAACCGGCTAAGTGCGTTTCTGGCCGCCTGTAGAGTTCTCATATAAACATATAAAGAGGATTCTCCACTTTGTCGGCATGATTAATATTTATGCCTATGCAAAACTGGACATGGCGGAACTATACAGGTTCTTAGTCCAGCTCCCCTCTCTTTTTTGGCAGTATTTTAATTACTTACAGCTTCGTTAGTTTTCCTCTTTCTTTTCTTAGCCGTACAAGTGTCAACATGTTCCACTAGCTGTTCTTTGTTGGCAAAATCTAATTTACAGTACTGAAACACAAAAAAACTATATGAACTTGTATTTACGGGAATTAACGAACTCACGATAGGTAATCAGAGGGCCAAGTGCGAGTTTTTTTCATTATCATCATCATCAACAGCCTTTAATAGTCCACTGCTTGACATAGGCCTCTTCTCAGAAAGGAGGTTTTGGCCTACTATACCACGCTGGCCAGACGGGTTGGTATAGCGTTTGTGTGGTTTGTGTTGTGTGCTGTTGTCCTGCCTAGTTTTTTTCCCTTAGTCGCTTCTTACGACACCCACGGAATGAATACGCGTTCGGAACGCGTTCGGCAATACCATTGGCCCGCACTGAAATCTCCACCAATCGAAACGCACTCGCAGTCGAAAGGGAGTCGATGTGAAATAAAATTACACACAGCAGCTCACTCTGAGGGCCGAGTAAAGAGAGTGGTTGAGGTCACCGTGACGATCAAGTAGAAGTGAAATAAACTTTCACTTGGGCCTCAGTACCTTTAAATTGGCTGACGTTTCGACCAGGGCCTCAATTCTGCTATTTTAATATTGTATCAATAGACTGTCGATGGAATGTCGTCGGAATAGTTTTGCACTTTTCTTATTCTACTGTACTGAAAGATCAATGGCCTCTCGGTGACTTATCACTGATACAAATGTCGTCGATGTTTTATGTAATAGTGTGGTAAACGATACATTTTAAATTTGTAAGAAAATGAGATATTTAATTTTCATGATATGGCAATGTTGTTGATATCACTATTGAAGATATATTTGACTATAACGATGTACGATATGTTAGTAGAATACGTATATTTTGACCGATGTCAGTGGCATCTCAATGGCATCTCAATAGCGTGTTAATGGAATGAAAGTGGCATGGCGTTAACATAAAATAGCAGAATTGAGGTCCAGGTTGCACTGGTCGATATTTTTGTTTATTTTTTTTTAAAGACGTCTCCCGCTCTAGGAATGTATCTTGTGTTGCGAGAGACGTTACAAACATACATGAAACGGACACAAAGAACATCCAGACTCAGAACAACAATTTGTGGATCACACAAAGTAAGGTCCCATGTGGGGATCGGACCCACAAGTCTAAGCAAAGTAGGAAGCGGCCAGGTGACCGCTTAAACCGCTACGCCATCCGTGCAGTCAATTTTCTCTTCGTATAAAAAAGAAAATATCAATAATATTGTTGTGCAGATAAATAAATTTCTATCATACGATAGCGGTGCGCGCTGAACCAGCCAGCCTGCCACAATGCCCAGTGCTACCCGGTCCAAAGGTCAGGCAATTCAACAATCATCTGACAAATAAAGATTAAAAATTTATTCGTTAAATCATTACGTACCCCACATTTAAAACACCCGCTGCCATGCCTCAAAATCATATGCCTATTTAATTTATTCTTCAAAACGAAGATATCACACAAATCACATTTAATTTTTCTCTCATCAGCACCCGGATGACAACGGGCCATGTGGAAATCAATACTCCTGATTGATAACTCTTTATTACAAAGCTTACATAAGACTCTTGTCGCTTTTTGTGTAACGGAGTCCATTAAAACTACATACGGGAGATCCATTACATCATTTGTTTTTGTTGATGAAATAGAATTTTTTCTATCATCCATATTGTTAAAGCTAATTTGACTCGTATTACTATCATCATTAAGTTCGTTATCAGTTAAAATTGGATCACAATTACCATTGTCAGCTAGTTCAAGTTTCTCTTCTTTTATTTCTTCAACTTTTATTTCGTTGTCTGTTATTGCACGTGCGGTGTCATTAATTGATGTCTGATCTTCTTTATTTGGTTCATACTTAGGACTAGGTTTGAAATCGGGTGTTTCTGATGTTGCTAGTAATTTCAAAGGCATGTCATCGTCTACATCATAATTGCTTAAAGACTCATTCTCGTGATTTTCCACTTCAATTTTAATTGTTGTTTCAAACTTGTTCTCTTCACTCTTCTCACTCTCCCCTTCAGAATTTTGTATACTCCTCTTACCGCGTGTTGAAAAAACATTAGTTTCTCCTTTTATTTTTTTTATCAGCTGTGTTTCTGCGTCTCTACATTGTCGTCTAAACTTTAATGTATTATTTAGCTTAATTATACAATTGGTGCACATATTTTGGGGTAAATTATCGTTGTATCGGATCTAGAAGTAAAACACACCATAACAGTATGTTATTGTCAGTGAAGTACTAACGGTGCTTAAATAATAATAATAATAACCTTACACATCTCACACACGGCCGTCTGATTCCAAACTAGGCAGAGCCTGTACTATGGTAACCAGACCACTGATAAACATACTTATATATTTCTAAATACATACATATTATAGATAAATTACACCCAGACACAAATCAAACGATCATGCTCATCACATAAATACTGTCCTGGGTGGGAATCGAACCGACAACCTCCGGTTTAGTAGTCAGGGTCACCAACCACTAGACCAACAGGCCCCTCAGGCCAAACCAAGATTTTGAGATCATATTATGAATAAAGATTACATTTCAGCTTGACAAGTGATAAAGAAAGATCATATATACTTCCTTACAAGTTAAAAAGGGATAGCAAACTAATAGAGCCACATTTTATATGTCGGAGAGCCATGCTTTCGCACAAATGGGTCATGGCACCTCACAAAAAACCGGGTTACAGCAATATTTTTATTGATTTTCACAAAGTGAGTGATGTTACCGGTGCCTAAACCCTTCCTTCAGTTATCCCGGGGGAAAGTCAAAGCTTAGCAACACCCTTGTGACTCTTAAGTAGCAGAAGTCCATGGGCAACATTACACGCTTACCAGATAACCCATACTATGTAAATAATTCAACATTCTAAGAAAAAATAAAAAAAAAATTCAAAATTTTAAGAAAACTGTTCTACCTTCATGTAAGGACCTGTGCTTGCATTTAGCTATACTCACAGCGGAATAGTTATTTCGTTAATTTAAAAACTTAACATTCTTTACTTAAGTACCGTTACAACTTCACTGACATAAAAATAAGAAAAAATATTGCGTATTTTTTTCTAATTGGTATTTTAATTTAAGTTTAAATACAGAAAATTAATTACCTGAGTACCAGTGGCCATATATAAAGCTTTGGCAAACGTGTCATGATCGTCATTACCTTTAAATAAAGGGTTTAATGAATGATCATCACATAAACAAGTGCGACAAACTGCTGAAAAATCCATTTTTCTAAATTAAGAGTAATATAAAAACCTATTTATTGGTATGCACTATTTGAATTTCTTAAAAATTTATATAGTTTTAGACATTCCTTTTAAATTAAACACGAATAATCTGCAAAAAAATGCAATATTCGCGTATTTGTTTTGACACCCACTAACATATGAAAACTTAGACATATGTTTGACATGACTTTGACAAATTGAGTGCTTACGAAAAGTCCACACATAGTGTATAGACAGAGGAAAGAAGCGAGCCATGATCCAGGGACGTTTGTAGAAAGAGAAAGAAGACAGCGATTTGCATGCGTCTCTTCACTTTGCATAATTAACACGACGTTCCTAAAATATTAGAAGATTTTTGGTATTAGGCATTAATGTTATTTAGTGTATCTCACACATCAGTTTACTTCACCTATTGATAGTCAAGGACTTTAGCGATCAGCATGGGCATAGTGAAGACGTCCGTTTGAATCTGGTGTCGTGTCCTACTGTCGAAATTGCTATATTACTGAATGCCTGAGTGAAGAGTGAAATCACTTAGAAATCTAAGCCAATATGATAAGACAATCCAACATTACACGTAACATACCGTTTCATACAAGAGACGACAGAAGTGTTCCATATATTTTGAGTACTTATATTATTTTACCGGATTTATACCGAAGCACCTTGAGTTTAGGATCGTCAAAGTTTGTAACTTTGACGATCCTAAACTCACAAGCGATATTGACCTTTAAAAGAACAAATACAAACGTTTTTGTTGTATAAGGAGCTCTATAACAAGATTTTCCCAAATTAATTCTGTACGGGGTTCTTTCAAAAAAGTGGTGAACAGAGTATTATAGAGTCGGCAACTAGCGTATTACGCCGGTGAAAGTGCAAGCGTCTGCAGGCAGTGTTTGAAACTGACTTAGTACGTATATCTACCCTTAACTCAGTTTTATTCAAATGTGTTTTAAGTGCATATTAGCCATTATTGCCTATTTCGAATACTGAAGACTTTAATAATAAACATTGATTCAGTAGAGTTGAGCTTATATTAACGGGTTAGCTTCTTCTTTTATTGCGAAAGATCAATCAGCACTGCACTAAAATCAAATTATAAACTCAATGCACGGTATTATACTAACCTAATTACTGTAAAATTTTGCGTAATCATAAATACAACCGAATCTACAAAAATGAACACTGCTTTTCTTTTGTTATTTAATTCCTAGGACAAAATTTATTTAACATATTTTTTTGTAAATTTTTATTCAAATTTACTCAATTACTCACGTACTACTATTTCACGTAAACACGATTTATCACAGTAGTTATCATCGTTGTTATTTAATGATGCTGATTTAAATCACATTATTTTACGATTTTCAACATTCAACACTATAGATGATAGATTTTCGATGATCAAAAGTCATTATATAAAAAAAAAATGTTGATGTTAAATTCTATTTTAGTTTTAAAATAAATTGTTCACATAATTAACAACTATAAACCATGTTTTCCACTAAAAGACTCTGTAGCTATGCTGTGAAAAATTAAAAAAATGTCTACTGTCACTTGTCAGTAACATGACATTATAATGACAGAAATTTTCACGTTGCGGTTGCTGCGTGCTGCATCATTCGTATAATAATCGTGTTTTGTTGATTATTTTTTAATGACACTTATAAAAACAAATAAATGATCAATAAAAAACCAACAACCATGTTAATATCAGAGGATAAAGAAGTCGAAATATTTGTTGCTAGTAAAATAGGATCATTTAAACGTAAGTAAAAAACTGTAATCACATTAATTTCAATTCTTTCACGATATCCATTTTGTCTTTCGGTTTTAATAGCTACTAATTGAACTCTACAACTTTTATGGTATGTACTATTTTTATATTTGTCTTCTATCTATTCTATATCTCGTATTTAAACAATTTTGTTTCAATTTCGTTGGTTATGTTTACATCGTGTTTTGCTCATTGTATGTAGTGTGTTATTTATTTCTTCACAATGAAACGTCTGGAGCAACATGTATGTGAACTCATGGATGTACTCTTGGAATAAAAAAATAAGAATTTTAAATTAGAAATCTACATGATGGTCTTATTTTACTGATAAAATAAAGATCAGCCTCTGAGAATCCTGAGAAGAACATCATCATCATCATCATCAGCCTATCGCAGTCCACTGCTAGACATAGGCCTCTCCCACTGCACGCCACTTGGATTGATTTTTGGCTTCTTGCATTATTTGATGGGATGATAAAATTATCATTTTAAATAGGAATTGTAATGATGTTTTGAGTCATTTTATTAGGTCTTGATTTTATTTCTAGAAACTTCAAAAGATTGTTGATGTTCAGTGTTCATAAATTATTATAAATTATAATAATCTGTTTTCTGCCCTTGTGTTCATTATTATCAATATAAGAAGATTCTCTGTACCACTCTTTAAACAAATATTGTGCATGTTAGCATATCATATTTAGAATACTGAATCTTGGTACTTCAGCAGTACGGTCTCCTCGCTGTATTAAGATGGAGTATCAAGATTAAATCTTGATACTAAATCTTAATATCTATTGGTGTTGGTCTCTGGGTTCTACATTTAGACTCAAGATTGGCTATTCATTCGTTGAGATAAGGTTGTCTAGGTAATCCCTCCAGCAGCAGCTCAAATGTATACGTTAATGTTGGTGGCTGTTTCTTTATATCTATACAGAAGATCTGTACAAGGCTAACATTTTAAAACAATACATGCTATAAAGATTGTGTAAAAACAGCTTTATTATACTATAGAGGTCCAGTATATTATTATTTTGACTTGACAAAGTACAAAAAGTCCATACAATGGTAGTACTAGTTATACTAGTCTATGAAATTAAACAAGTGTAGAAATTCAACCACCAGGGGATCCGTAGTTGTTATTTTATTATACTAGCTGCCCAACAGACTATACTATATTTATTTATTTATTTACATAACTACACAATTAGGTAAATGTAGGCAAACCTTAAACCACTGGGGTTTATGCGGCATGCCACAATATGCAAAATCAATCTAGTACTTATCAATTAATAAGTGAATAACATAAGCAATTGATCAATAACATTGACTTAAAAGTATTAAGTTTAGGGTAGGATACAAAAAAAATAGTATTGACGAACGGGCGGACATTTGCAGTCAGTGAAACAGGTTTCACACAGGGAATCTATAGGCTGTTCACGAAATGTGTTTTTAATTTTTGTTTTAGATTTACTTTTGTTATTCTTTGTGTAAAGGAAGGATTTAAGTTGTTTATTAGGCGGGGAATAATATATTTAATGGTTCTTTCACCGTAAACATTCACTGCCTGTCGCATCTTGGTTTTGTTTTGTTTAGAGACAGGTCTTTTGATTTACTCTGTGGATTGTATGGAAAGAGAACAGTATTGTTTTTACTATTTTGTTCGCAATTTTTATGTTTTTACTCTCTATAAGAACCTTGATTGTGCCTTAACGAAAATATAAAATTTATCATAATTGGTTGAGCCGTTCTCGAGTTTTGAACTTAGCAACACATTTGACGTTTCATTTTTATTTATATAGATAAAAAGCTATGCTTCATGCTTTTAGTAGTAACATTGAATCGTTCCATTTCAGATATTAAATACCACACAGACCACACAAAGAACACAAAAAAATGTATAGAAAACCTTGTAGAAATAAAAACTTTGCAGAAAGATGATGGAATCACATGGATGGAGTGGGGGAATAAAGAGCGGACGGAAATACTCATTGGAAGGAAAAATCAACAAGTAAGTTTTTTTAATATAACTCCCGCATTAGGAATATACCCTGTGCCGTGAGGGACTTTACAAACATACATGAAACGGACACAACGAACACCCAGATTCAGAACAACAATTTGTGGATCACACAAAGTGTCATCCCATGTGGGGTTTGAATGCCGCTTAAACCACTACCCCATCCATGCAGTCAAATGACTGCAATTGCATCTTCACATACAGTACATACAACCATCGGATCCCAAACTAGGCAGAGCATACCTTCTTTTTTTGTTTGTTGATGGGGTGGATCTCCTGCTCCTCGGGGACTATGAGGTGATTCCACTAAAAACCAACCCGTCAGTCGCCCTCAGGTGTCCTACTCTGAGGAGGACCCGGACCATGTTATTTCAGGTCCTCCCCGAATTGACACCATGCCTAATCAGGCCCTATCCCAGGGGAGAAGGCAGAGCCTACCTAAGGAAACTGTTGAAAGCTATTTATGACAATAATGATTATTATTATTACTTACCATCAGGTGATCTGCTCTCCTATATTCAATAAAAAAAATTTGCAGGTCCAAGTTTACGACATCCTAGAAGGTTTTACCAAGTCCTATACAGCGGACTTCTCGAATGGTGACATCGTTGGTCTGGGACGGTACAAACGGAGGCTCATAGCTGGCCTCTCCAGTGGAGTGGTAAAGATTTGGAGCAAGAAGTCCGAGGAACTAGTTAATGTTGGCAAGATTGACAGGATGAGGGTCTATGAGGATGGTGATGTTTTTGCTACAGGTTTGTGTCTATTTTCAGAGAATGTATCACTATTCATACTTCCATATCCATACTATATTATAAATGTTTACACACTGCTTACACACACACACACACACACACACAAGTACACGCACACACACTCAAACGCCCAAATCACCAAAGCGATTTAAAAAATTATTTGACCAATGAAAAGATATATTTTCAGCGAGTAACATACCTTCTTTTTACCGCAATAACCGACCTAGACGCGGGTGGAGGCGCGGGCAAAATTAGTATAGTAAAAAACAAAATCTGTCTGTCTGTTTTTTGTTAAACTCAAAAACTACTGAATCTCTGGTGACTTCACTTAATAACTTCACGAAATAAGTGAGAAGTGAGGTTGTGACATCACTCCCGGCCAAGTGTGAGCATAGCACTCTTATGGTGCTGGAAGGTTGTGTGTGAGGTGTTAAGGGTTATTATTATTATGTATATATAGTGTATGACATATAATTTAGCATTTGGAGCTGATCTGATGACGAAGCCAAGAGCTGAATAGTGGCACTCTTCAATGGCTACTAGTGAACCCCTCATGGTTCACTTTGACGAGGGCAACAAACTAGGCTTGGTGAGGATGGTCTGATGATCACGCCAGGATGTGTAGTTTAACTCTTTTTTAGGCTTTACTCTGGTACACCATTAGGGGTCATCCATAAATTACGTTACACGAATTGCATGGGTTTTGACCTCCATCCCCGTCATCACAGCTGTTCACATTTGTGAAACTCCCCCCCCCCCCCCCTACTCTCTAGTGTGACGTCATATTTTTATCAATTTTACATCTAGAAACGATTAAATTAAAACATCATCATCATCATCATCAGCCTGTAATAGTCCACTGCTGAACATAGGCCTCTCCTTAGAAAGGAGGTTTTGGCCTACTATACCACGCTGGCCAGACGGGTTGGTATAGGGTTTGTGACAAGTTTTCCTTCTTTTTGCAGAGCTGGTGTCCTGCGTAGTTTTGCGCTCTTAGTCGGCTCTTACGACACCCACGGGATGAATTGGGGTGGTGACATTCCGTATTCTTAATCAGCAAATTAAAACAGCAGTTATGAAATTGAGATATTTTAAGTTAACTGATAATATTTTGCTGATTTCTCGTTTTTATACTTAAATAATTTTTTTATTAGATTAGGTTCTTAGAAATGTGACGTCACGAAACTTAGGTCCCCCATTTCTTGTCACACAATATCCCCCATCTCCTAAACGTGTGACGTGATTTCTGTTTCACATCTTTAACATGAAGATTTTGTTTAATATTTTAGGTGGTGAAGAAAACGACCTAAAAATATGGCGTATTGGTGAACCGACTCCAATATTCGTTGCCAAGAACCTCCCCCACGACTGGCTACAGCTGAGGAGGCCAGTATGGGTCAGTGACCTTTGCTTCCTCAACAATGAGGGGGGGAATGTTGTTGCTGTATGTTCAAGACATGGATATGTTAGGTTAGATTTTCATATATAAATACGCTTATGTATTTCTTAATTCGGTCCGTGTGGTGACAGACAGAGTATCACCATCCCTATTCATCCCGTGGGTGTCGTAAGAGCCGACTAAGGTAAAAAACTACGCAGAACAACAGCACTGCATAAAGAAGGCCAAAACCAATTGCAACAATTAACAAAATAAATCACAATAATACTAATAACCTTTATAACAAATAATACAAACTTAGTGCAATAAATAATTATTAAATATTTAAATAAAAATAAAATAATGACTATACAGATTAAATATATATAAATAATATATTATAAATAAATTTAGTAATAATCATTCCCCTCTCTCTCTCTCTCTCTTCTATGCTGTGCCCGACAGGGTCCATAATTGATACCTAGCTTAAGTTTTTACCAACTGTAAAATTTACATTATGGTAGCAATAAAGTATTGAGTATTGAGTAAGGAAAACTTGACACAAACCCTATACCAACCCGTCTGGCCAGCGTGGTATAGTAGGCCAAAACCACCTTTCTAAGGAGAGGTTTATGTCCAGCAGTGGACTATTAAAGGCTATTGATGTGATGTGATTTCTTAATTCAGTGGAAGTAGAGACAATGGAAGGAGGGGCTCGTGGCTAAGTGGCAACCGAGCATGTTTTAGTCCATGGATGGGTGACCATTCTTAACACATTAAGACCCTTCCATTCTTCAGAGAGTATGTTAAGCTGTCAGTGCCGGTTGCCATGCAAACATCTGTGGCAATCGTTACGGGTACTTGGACCCCTAAACAGTCTGACAACAGTCTCTTTCCACATAACTTCCGACGACCGAATGGCGCAGTGGTTTGTGTAACGGACTGCTATTCCAAAGGTCGCGGGTTCGATTCCCGCTCAAGTCAAACATTTGTGTGCATGAACATTTAATGTTTGATTTGGTCTGGGTGTTTCTATGTATCATATGTATGTATTTACAAAAAAAATAAGTATATATGTATTTATATCAGTTGTCTAGTACCCATAGTACAAGCTCTGCTTAGTTTGGGACTAGATGGCGTTGTGTGAATGGTAAAAAAAAAAACTTCAAAATCGCCTAGTACTTGGATTGTGAAGGTCTGAGAGCAGTCGCTCCGTGTAAAAAATAGAAGTTCAGCCGTTTAGACTTAAAGCCTAGTTTGGGAAAAAGGCTTGGAAGAAGAAATAGTTTGCCGTCTATTTTTATTTTTAAATTCTGGTTTTCTTGTGCAATTCTTAGTCCATAAAAAGAATATTTATCTTTTAAACCGACTTCACAAAAAAAGAAGCAGTGCCTTAATTCGGTTGTAATTATAATATATATATTTTTTTAATGAAATGAAGGTAGCTTACATTTTTTTTAAATTGCATGAAAACCTATTCAATTAGTTTCATGGTATGGAAGGGGGCCGAACGAGCAAATGTGTCACCTGATGGTAAGCGACTATCGCCACCTATGAACACCTGCACCTCGAGAATCACAAGTGCGTTGCCCCCTTTTGAGTCCTCCCCCATAGAATCAGGGGAAGGGGGGGATTTGGGCTCCGGTAACCGCACATTCGGTGAAAAGCAACGTGTTTTTTTTTTAAATTAAGTTCATCATCAACAGCCTATAACAGTCCACTGGATTTACTGTATTTCCAACTCCTCCAATTTTCTTCTGATTAATTTCGTAGCGGGTTCCAAGACAGTTTAATTTCTTCCTGGGACTTCCCGAGTGTCATAACTTGGTGTGTTCGTGAGTCACTGCTGTGGATCCTGGTGTACAGGAGTTACAGTGGTGGGCGTGTGGGTGGGATTAGTCCCATTTAAAAAAAAAAAGTCCACTGCTGGACATAGGCCTCTCCTTAGAAAGGATTAAGTTACTTAATTCATTTTGCAGGTTATACGATACCCGCGCTCAGCGACGCCCCGTGACTAGTGTGGATTTCGAGAAAATGGCTGCCACCTGCATCACTAATAGTTTTGATGACCGGTGAGTATTTAAATCTTATTAGCTATTGCCCGCGGATGCCCTCGCGTGGTTATTTCTTACTAGCTGGTACCCGCGACTTCATTCACGTAAAATTGAAAAGCACTGCCTTATCGGGTTCGATTCCCAGACCAGGTAAACTTTTATAAGGTTTTTCTGAGAGGAAAAACAGCCTAAGTTACTACTCTTATACCTACGGCTACATGATAGTAAAATATTATCAAAATCGGTCCAGCCGTTTAGAAGATTACCCAGAACAAACAGACAATTCTTTTTAAACCGATTTTTAGGCATAGATATCACGCAAATAACCGTGTGAAAATGAAAAAACCCTATTATTTTGACATCACAAACAGACACTTTTGTGTTTCCTTCTAACGTTGAAAATCACGAATTTCCATATCATCATCATCAATCATCATCAACAGCCTAGACTAGTCCACTGCTGGACATAGGCCTCTCCTTAGAAAGGAGGCCTATGTCCAGCCTTGGCCTACTATACCACGCTGGCCAGAATTTCCATATAGTTCATTCATTCTCTTATTTTACCAAAAAATTCCAAAAATGTTTTTTTAATATGTGGTGTAGCTGCCGTCTTAAGAGCCGACTAAGGGACCACACTACGCAGGACAACGGCACTGCAAAGAGATGGAAAACTTGACACAAACCCTATACCAACCCGTCTGGCTAACGTGGTATAGTAGGCCAAAACCTCCTTTCTAAGGAGAGGCCTATGTCCAGCAGTGGACTGTTATAGGCTGTTGATGATGATGTAGCTGCCGAAGCCCAAGTGGTTTAGGGTCTGCGTTGATAAATCAGTCAGTCAGACAACAAGTGTGAAGAATAAATGCTGTCATCAGCACTGACCTCACGGATGGCGTAGTGGTTAAAGCGGTCGCCAACGCCGCTTGCTACTACGCTGAGTGTTGTGGGTTCAAACCCCACATGGGTGACACTTTGTGTGATCCACAAATTGTTGTTCTGAGTCTGGGTGTTCTTTGTGTCCGTTTCATGTATGTTTGTAAAGTCCCCCGCGACACAGGATATATTCCTAGTGCGGGAGTTGTCTTTTAAAAAAAGAAAATATTATGTTAATTGCGATTAATAATTCTTAATTCCTACTTCCTAATTCTGGGGTATCCCAAAAGCTGACAGCTCTTTTGCCTCTTCTATACAAATAAATGAAATAAGAGTGTGTGTTTGTAATATTAAAATAACAGCTTTTTACTAAATGCATATGTATGTTTACACGGTACATATGCCAAAATAACACTTTTTACAATTTTCGTCTGTCTGTTTGTTCCGGGTAATCTCAGGAACGGTCGGTCCAGCCGTTCGACGGGACTTTCACTGGCAGATAGCTGATGACATAAGGAGTAACTTAGGCTACTTTTTTTAGACTAGCGTCGCCCCACGGCGTTGCCCGCGGTTATAACAACAAACGCGGGTAACACCGCGGGTCTCAGCTAGTATAGTATAAAAACTATGGTTGACAGCTCCGTTTTCTATCAAGCTTCCAAGATATCTAATAGAGTATACTTCCAGTCAGGTGTTGGTCGGCTTCGGTCGGGGCCAACTCCACCAAGTAGACCTTCGGAAAGGAAAACCAGATAAGGGCTTCAAAGGATCCGCTGGAGCTATCACAGATGTTGCCACCGTGGAGGAAGGGAGGCTGGTGGTTAGCACGAGCTTGGATCGGCAGCTCAGGGTACATCAGTTTGAGACCAAGGAATTGGTTTATAAGGTAAGTCGATGAAATTGCGTTTTGAGTTCATTTTAAGGGGTATGTCCACAATTTTGGTGCGTTCTAGAAAGATTTTTTTCAGTTTTATACATACTTTTATATTTCTAAATACATACATATTTTAAAGCTCGTTACAAAATTATTCGTCAAACTCAAACTCTCTTTACTTCATAAAACTTTAAAAATTATTTGAAATCGTCTTTTATGTAGACTCTAAAGTCATAGATCAACACACACAAAAGCAACAATCTCTGTTTTGTAAAATATTAATCAAATAAATTTAACAAAAATCAAACCCATACAAAATTTATGATGTGCCTGTGCCGATCTACAACCGCCCGTTTCCAAGGGGTTGAGCCTTATGAGAAGAAGGGCGAACATACTCATGACATTCCTGAATGGGAATCAAACCCACGACCTCTAGTTTAGTAGTTAGGCTCTCTAACCACTAGGAAAGCAGGCCATTCATAATGTACCGTTATTGAAATGTGTGTATTTAATAAAAATAATTACATTTTCAGCAATACCTAACATCCAAGTTAACATGCGTGCTGGTACAATCAGACATTTCAGTTCCACTAAAACACGCAGAGAAAGAGATAAAAGAAGAAGTGAAAGATGAGATCAAGGTGGAAACAGATGATGTGGATGACTTTGATCAGTTATTTGAGAAAATGGAAACAGTCGGGTAAGTTTTGAAGAAATTATTAAACTGGCCTTTTGCCATGCCTTTTTCAATCGATATATACCTCAGAAATACTTGTTTTCTACATGAAAGGTGCACTGTGCTTCTAACAATGTATGTTGATAAAATTTTATGGTGATCTGGCCAGTAGTTTAAGACATAAAAAGTAATAAACAGACTTACACATATGATTTTATTTAGATAGGTAGATAAATCTTTCTTGTACAATTAAAACACAGTGATCTAATGTTATACAAAGCAAATATAAAAAAAGTACAATTGGCAGCCTTACAGCGATTGGTGATCTCTTCCAAGCAACCACTACCTAGATGAGGTGATTTTAGTTACAATTTAAAAAAATATCGTGTGGCGACGCGTCGCCATGCGCAGGTGACTGTATAGTCATTATTTCAAAGTTATTACTGAATAATTTCGATGTTTGACATCTGTCACACGTTCTGCCACGGTTCATTTTCTTTTTCTATTGCTCACTAGATGGCATTACTATTTACGTTATTTATTTTTGCTTCAGGGAAAAGCCATCAAAGAAGAAACTACCACTGGAAGAATTACCAGCGAATAAAAAAATTAAACCATCATCAGAAGGTAGGACAGATACAGATTTAGAGGAAAGTTTGACAGACGACGCGATCAAGAAGCTTTTGAAAAGCACAGAGAAACAGAAGAGGAAGAGGGAACAGAAGAAACGCGAGAAGAAAGCGAAGAGCGTATTTCATAATGCTTAAAATAAAATGTTTTAAGAAATGTTTGCTTAGTTTATTGGGAACTGGTCCTACTTTTACCAACGGTCTTCTGAACCTCAGGACTCCGTAAAATTTTCTTATGAGGATACTTTCATAAAGGATTTTACACGGATTACGTGGTTTTTGACCTCACCTCGTTGTGTGAGCTGGTTATTTGTGAGACCCTCCCTAGTGTGACGTTATTTGGAAATTTAACATCTAGACATTGTTAAATTAAAATAGCAGTGCCGAAATTAGTTTTATTTCCATTGAATTTTTTTTAAATATATGCCTATACCAACCCGCCTGGCCAGCGTAGTATAGTAGGCCAAAACCTTCTTTCTAAGGAGAGGCCTATGTCCAGCAGTGGACTATTAAAGGCTGTTGATGTGATATGCCCTCCCAAATAAAAAAAAAAAGAATTATCCAATTATAATAATCCAATATTTAAAAAAAACACCTCTTTTTTTGAAGTCGAACATTTCTTTTCTATAAAATCTTTATTCCTTATATCTAAAACATTGTATAACTAATTGTTGGGTCGATTTTCTTTGTCATTGAGGAAGTTCCAGCCGGGGGCTGCGGTGGACTGAATGACAGCCCATAGGTCTTCGCTGTCGCCTCCAGCTGACATGTCGATCTCAAACGGCTGGAGAAGCTTGCGAGACTCGCTCCTTATATCTGACTTTTTGGTTAAAGAAATAGGTAATATTTTTTTTTTTTAAATAATATTGTACCACATTCACACAACGCCATCTAGTCCCAAACTAAGCAGAGCTTGTGCTATGGGTACTAGATGACTGATATAAATACATTATATGTTTTTTTTTGTAAATACATACATAATGTGCATAAAAACACCAACACCAAATCAAACATTACATGTTCATGCACACAAATGTTTGATTGAGCGGGAATCGAACTTGCGATCTTTGGCTTAGCAGTCCGTTACACAAACCACTACGCCATCCGGCTGTCAATCATGGTTGGTGACCCTGCTTTTTGATGGTAATGGGGAGCAAACAAGCAGACGCGTCACCTAATGGAAATCGTGTGTGTGGAAGTGGCTACTGCCACCAGCCCGTCCATCCTTTGAATCCTACCCCAGAATCAGAAAGAGTAAGGGTCGAAACACGTAACCGAGCGGCGCAACTTAACGCGTCACCAAGCGTTACGGCATCGCGAAACAAAGCGTTCTACTGCCGTACTGTAGGGCAACCATCATCATCATCAACAGCCTTTAATAGTCCACTGCTGGACATAAGCCTCTCCTTAGAAAGGAGGTTTTGGCCTACTATACCACGCTGGCCAGACGGGTGGGTATAGGGTTTGTTTCAAGTTATCCTTCTCTGTGCAGTGCTGTTGTCCTGCGTAGTTTGCTCCCTTAGTCGCCTCTTACGACGCCCACGGGATGAATAGGGGTGGGGCAACCATACTTTTATGATTTTTTAATACATGTCCTACTTACACAGTTTATATTTTTCACTAGCGTCTTTTGTTCAATTATCATTAATGATTCCACAAATGCTTTTCCATGTCGCTTGTTTTCTAAATTTCGTAGTTTCTGAACCACAGATATCAATAAATCAACATCAGACATTTTAATTTTATAACTACTTCCGGATTGACACGAATTGTTCACAATCGTATTAGAAACCAATTGCATTGCTTGTCACCGTGTGACGTCATAACGCTGGAATATGCGGCGCAGTGTACACCGCAAAATTCTACGTGACGGCTGCCGATTTTGGCGATTCGGTGTCGCGACGCAGTTAGGGACCAAACACAAAACTGCGGCGAGACGTCGCAACGTAAAAATCTACGATCTTTGAAAAACGCATCGCGCACTTTTGCGGCGTTACGTCGAGGAAATAGATACCCGACCCGACGGTAGATAGACTCCTTGCCGCATGAATTCGCATCGCAGCAAATAGAGAGTTTTATGTGTATGTGTATGAGCCCTTATGCCTATAACCTAACTCAGAGAACAACAACAAAAGACTTGCATAGCCCCAGTTTTCTGCGAATCCCTGGTATCAGCCAAGGCAGCTCATTTATGCTAAAGCTCCCACAGCACTCTTGGTGTTTTCATATATTGTAAAGGATACAACCCTTGGCGATGTCCGTTGGAGCGCTAAAATTCAATCTTATGCCGGTTAACTCCTTAGCCAGTTGATAGTTTTCTCTGCAAAGTGATAGATAATCAGTATTAGATGGTAGAAAACATCATATAGGATATAGAACAGTGCAGACTTTGGCTCAAATTAAATCTGACTGTCTAGATGAATAGAATGACTGCACGGATGGCGTAGTGGTTTAAGCGGTCGCCACGCCACTTACTACTACTCTAAGTGCTGTGGGTTCAATCCCCACATGGGACGACACTTTGTGTGATCCACAAATTGTTGTTCCGAGTCTGGGTGTTCTTTGTGTCCGTTTCATGTATGTTTGTAAAGTCCCCCGCTACACAGGATACTCCTAATGCGGGAGTTGTCTTTTTTAAAAAGAAAAAAGAAAATAAAGATGTCAGAAACAAGAAAAGCGGGCAGTAAAAATATGGTTAAAAATTTTAGCTACAAAAACTAAATATTTCAAGGTAATATTTTTAGTTTGGTCATCTTTAATTCTGTCTGGCCAATGACATAGTAGACCTCTCCTTAGAAAAAAGGTTTAGGTCTTTTTTAAGGAGAGGCCTATGTCCAGCAGTGGATTATTAAAGGATGATGATGATTTTTGGTTGATTGGTCTTATGGTCCAAACTGTTAAGCCAAACATTTCAGATTATTTGTTCTGTGTCTGGGGGTGTAGTTTATCGATAATATACCCATATGTATTTAGTGATATTTAAATGTATTTTTCAGCAGTTTGGTTACCGTACAGGCTTTGTTTAGTTTGGGATTCGACAACCGTGTGTGAATTTCACACATCAGTATTATTACACAGAATTATCAAGATCAAAATAACATGCAGAAAATGTGAAAAGTGTAATAAATAATGAATGTACTTGGCATTGTCCAGTCGACTTTTGTCGTTGTCAGCTATAGTCACACGTCCCATGGAAGCACAGACCCTGTCCAACTCCGTACCACGCCGTGAGAGCTCTGCTAACCGTTCAGTCAGCTCATTCTGGAAGATTAAATAAATATTGTTTATCTATGCTAATGGCATAAATAAAAAGAGTATTTCTTTGTTTATTTGTACTAATCAGTCAGATTTTTAATTTCTTTTTTTTATTTATTGAAAGTTATGTAATATCTCGCGATGCTAATAGGGAACGGAGTAGTAACTATAATGGCTTATAAGACTGTGAGGAACAACTGTTTTGTCCTAATTGCATTTTTTTTTTAGTTTGACGAAGCAAAAATATCGATTGAAGCTTTTTAAACTAATAGTTATAACCTTCTGTACACCTAGCTGCAAAAGCAACCAAACAGTAAGGTATAATCTGACGTAATTACGAATTATGACGAATTAGATTTCAGAAAAATAAAGAGCTATTATACCTACTTACATGTAACTTCATTTCCTGTGCCAATTTGGTTTCTAATTCGGTTTTCTTTTTAGATGCCTTTAACTCTTGCTGTTCTTTTTGTATTTTGTCTGGAAATTAATTAATCAAGCCTCGTAAATAAACGAACAAATAACGAGTGATAGAACCGTAAATAAAATATATTACCATCGACTCGTTTGTAGAATTCGTCCAAATGATTAACTACAGTATCTATCCACTGTGCGTTAGATTCTAATACCATTTTGATGTTTTAACAGTTCTTGTTAACAAAATAAAATTATATTTAGAGCGATTGACCTATAAACGACAATATTTTTGAATTCAAAACGATAAACAATATTCTACAGATTATAAATATGTTTGACATTGTTGCACAGATTATAAAAGTACACTCACAATTGGAATTTTTTAGGTGGATCGTGAGTGTATCCGACCGTATTGATAAAACAAAAGCAACAGTGGCGCTCCTAGTGTCGAGAAGTAGAACCTTATTTATCGCCATTTTTGTGATGGCGACTGATATTTATAGATCGTAAGGGTGTTGTTATTTAACAAATAAATGCATTAAAAATGGAGGAAACGAAAGTTATTTATTACATAGACGATGAAGAAACACCATATTTAGTGAAAATTCCCATATCACCTGAAAAAGTGACGTTATTGGACTTCAAAAACCAATTGAATAGACCGAACTATAAATTTTTCTTTAAATCTATGGACGATGACTTTGGTGTTGTGAAAGAAGAAATTGTAGATGATAACGCTCATTTGCCGTGTTTTAATGGTCGTGTTGTGTCGTGGCTAGTGTCTGCGGAGGGCTCAAACCCATCGGACGGTGCGTCTCAGTGTACAGATAGCAATGCTGGCAAGGGGAAACAAACTCATGGAGCGCCGGCACCGGTCACCAGAGACACCTGTACAGACACAGATAGCACCATTAGCTCACGCCCTGGACACAGAGCATCCTGCGATAAATATAAATACCGCGGATTACGGATAAACGGACACTCAAAATATGGCAACCACGGTTTGGAATATGAAACAGCTTCAGTACTGTCTTCCGACTTGGACTCCACCAGCCTCTTCGACAGTCAGTCTGAAATCACTACGACCACAGGCAGACACACTAACGCTTCAGTAGACCGTGCATTGACCGAATGTAGCAGCGTATCACATCTTCAAGTTAGTTCTAGGAAAAGACCGCAGCGTAGACGAAAAAGACCGCAAGTTATGTCCAGAACGTCGTCTTACTCATCGATTACTGACTCTACGATGTCTATGCACATAATTACAGTCACATTAAATATGGATACAGTGAATTTTCTAGGTATTTCTATAGTAGGACAGTCTAATAAGGGTGGAGATGGGGGAATATATGTTGGAAGTATTATGAAAGGTGGTGCTGTGGCCCTGGATGGGAGGATAGAGCCAGGAGACATGATATTACAGGTGGGTACCTTGTCTTACAGATGATTTATCTTCTGTAGGCTAATTCTTGTAATAAAAGTCCGGTCACAATTCAGACTAGCAGATTATTGATTCAATTTTGGTCACAATATGATATAGTCACATTGCATGCTACATTTGATATTAATACTTTACTTTGAAAAATACCTAATATGACAGTTGTGAGATGGAGAGTTGATTGGAACTAAATTGTGACCAAACATTAATTAAGAATTGGCTTGGATTTGGCGGGTTAGGGTTTGTTTCAAGTTTTCCTTCTCTTTGCAGTGCTGTTGTCCTGAGTAGCTTGTTCCCTTAGTTGGCTCTTACAACGGGATGAATAGGGGCGGTGACATTCTGTATTCTTAATCCGTCACCACACAGATAGTTGATTATTGATAGAGATTAACAAGCCAATAGTAGGCCAAAACCTCCTTTCTAAGGAGAGGCTTATGTCCAGCAGTGGACTGTTAAAGGCTGTTGATGATGACGATGATGATGATGAGAGATTAACAATAGTCATATATAATGTGTCACATCTGACCTAACTTCTGACGTATAACTCTACTTCATGTGCGCTCATTGGTGGATTTAAATAGTGTGTGTAATGATTTCCTGTTACACAATTCCGTCCCTTGTCACGATCTTCCCACAGATGGTTAGAGACACGACAAGGCAGTAGCTGCTGTAACTTAAATAGCGCTAGGACTGGCAGACCCATACTTTGGCATATGTGGACCAGAATGATAGCTCACAGGCCTCACAGGAAACTGGTGTGGAGCATTTCTTTCGTTTCACCGACTGCTTGAGGTTACAAAAGGACCAACTCCTATCTGATTCTGGCGGGACTCGAAAATAATATTAATAACTAGGTTTTGCCCGCAGTTACGCCTGCGTGTATGTCAGTTATTACGGTGAAATGTTATGATTACGTTACTCGCTGATATTGTAGCTTTTCATTGGTGAAAGTATTATGAAATCGGTTTAGTGGTTTAAGCGTGAAGGCGTAATAAACAAACAAACACAAACTAACAAACAATTACTTTCACATTTATAAGTCACTAGCTGACCCGGCAAACATTGTTTTGCCATATACATTATTTCTAGGAAATATTTCAAAAAAAATTAGGTTTGGGTCACCCTTGTCATTTAGGGGTATGAAAAATAGATGTTGACCGATTCTCAGACCTACCCGATGTGCACACAAAACTTCATAAAAATCGGTCCAACCGTTTTGGAGGAGTATGGTAACTAACATTGTGACACAAGAATTTTATACATAAGATCATCATCAGCAGTCTTTAATTGTCCACTCCTAGACATAGGCCTCTCCTTAGAAAAGAGGTTTGAAGAATGATTTATAATATTCTATGGGTATATTGAGCAGAGGTTGTACTATGGGTACTAGACAACTGATTTACACATTAATTCTTTTTTACGTATTTAGGGTTCCGTAGCTCAAAAGAAAAAACGGATCCCTTATAGGATCTCTTTGTTGTCCGTCTGTCAAGACCCTTTATTACGGGAACGCGTGGGGGTATCGGGTTGAAATGAAAACCATATACTCAGGTTTACGTATAAAAAAGATACGCTCGTTTATGACGTCCCAGTTCCAGGACCTTTAACTCTTTAATAAATAATAATAATAATCTTAATTATTTCATATGTTGATTCGGCAATCGTTGTACCGATAGTCATATCGGCCCATGGATTAGTTGCTAAGAGCCTCGACCAACATCTTCACAGGCTTGCGTTAGGCAGTTGGATTAAGGGTCTGATGCAGAAAGCAGTTCTTCTCGATACGGCACGTATTGTGAGGAAGTTTCTGTTTCTGGAGTCCTTACCACCGATATCTTGGTCTCTGTACCCGATACCGATGGGATACTATTTTTTATATTTTTAAATGTTTTTTTTTTGTTTTTGTATATAAATATATTTAAAAATGTAATTTATTTGTATAAAGGATGAAATAAAGATAATGATAATATTGTACCACATTCACACAACGCCATCTAGTCCCAAACTAAGCAGAGCTTATACTATGGCTACTAGACAACTGATATAAATACATAAATACTTTTTTTTTTTGTAATTACATACTTATTATACTTTGTCAAGTAACATCGTCTTATACTACAAGTACAGGGAAAAATCTGAAAACTGTATATTTGTAAAAACAAAAAACAAAAAAATATATATAGTCTTTATTTAAAGTGCGGAAGCAATCATCCAGGTACAATTTCTCTTATAAAACTCAAGAATATAAGTAATTAAAGGTTTTGAAAACCGAATTTCGGGCGAAGCTCGGGAAAAAACTGCGAGATTCGATTCCTGAACTATTTATAATATGCTTAAAATGTGTACGGGACCCTCGGTGGGCGAGCCCGACTCGCACTTGTCTGGATTTAAAAAAAATAACTTGTCTTAACCAACGAAGTAACTAAAAATGTCTATTTCGTTGCGTTATACGCCGAAGTAGTGGATGCGAGGGGTATACTAGCTAAATCCCTCTATAACTTGCTTAAAGACCTTGAATTGCTTTTCTTTAACGAATATCCCAAGCGGCATTATATAAATGAAACCAGCCCTCCCACACGCCCACCACTGTAACTCCTGTACACCAAAATCAACAGCGGTGACCCACGAACACACCGAGTTAGTGAGTCACTCGAAATTAAACTGTCTTGGAACCCGCAACGAAATTAATCAGAAGAAAATTGGAGGAGTTAGAAATACAGTAAATCCACTTCCCTCCTTACCAAAGCGGGAGACAAAATTAAGTAAAATAGGCATACACCCTTTTAAACAGGGAAGCACCAGCCACAAAATATTATGGGTCCTAATATGTATGGCAGAATCGCCTAAACGCACGGAAATTCACCCTAGTTGACACCTGCCCCGCCTCAGATGTCACCTGCAAGATATTCAGCATTATATTACGTTCATTATAGCGGCATTAATAGGCTCGTATTAAATATGGTTATGTAAAAGGGGTTACATAGCAGACAGCTGACGCGTCGCAAGAAGTACTCCCTAAACCTACTCAACAGCATTTAATAATATGTAACAATCCTGTAAAATGTGCCAATTAAAGTATTTTTCTTTCTTTCTTTCTTTAACAGTCCACTGCTGGACATAGGCCTCCCTATTTGGCCCTATTTGGCCTACTATACCACGCTGGTCTATAAGGTTTGTTTCAAGTTTTCTTTCTCTTTGCAGTGCCATTGTCCAGCATAGTTTGCTCCCTTAGTCGGCTCTTACGACACCTACGGGATGAATAGGGGTGGTGACACTCCGTATTCCTAATCTATCACCACACCTAAATCTACTCCTGGGTTGCAATTACCAGGCGCTGTCGCATGTGTCGCCCCCATTTATTACGCCAAGGACTCAGCACCCGCACGGTGAATCCATGGAAGGCTAAGACATGATCTTTTGTGTAACTCATGGGTTACTACTGTCCATGGGAGGTGTTAGCCATTAACTATCAGTATCAAGCAGCTTGTCTGTTCATTTTTCCCCCTATACCAGAAAAATAATGTTCATCATCAAATTGATAAAATTTTCTGAATTTTACAGGTTAACGATGTAAACTTCGAGGATATGACCAATGATGAAGCTGTTCGAGTGCTTCGGGAGGTGGTGCAGAAGCCTGGACCCATCAAGCTGGTCGTAGCCAAGTGTTGGGACCCCAATCCCAAAGGGTACTTCACGATACCAAGAACGGAGCCGGTCAGGCCTATAGACCCTGGTAAGTTTGTGTAAAAAAACTTTATCATCTCGACATTAAGGTGGTGAATAAGCAACAATTTGACGGGTCTGTTGGTCCATTGCTTCAGGATCAACAATCCCTGGAACATCAGGCAAATATTGTGTGATGAGCAAAATAATTTGTTCTGTGTCTGGGTGGATTGTGTCTGTGTGTCTTTTGTGTGGGTGGGTTGTAGTATAAATTTATGATTCTTCTGTGCGTGTGTGTACAAGTGGATTCGAAAATGATTTAGATTCACAATGCGGTCCACTGCAGAATGTTTTGGACCTGAAGGACCAGAGAACCAATAAAAAAAAATCGGTTGTCTGTAAAGTCGGTTTACTGACGATAGTTGAACGTGACAACGTCATAAGAAAATACCGATGGAATGGTTGCATTTTTCAAAAATGTATTATTGTATACGAGTAGCAGCTGTCCACGCGGACGCATCGCTCACTGAAGTAGGAGAGAGACAGATGTCGAACGCTGCCGAACGCGGAGGCCGATTGTGCCTCTTTGTCACTCGTGCCGCGCTCTCGCACTTCACGCCTTAAATGGAACGCCTCAGAGCGAGGTAACGCCGCATGAGTCATGTTTTTTCGTGCGTGCAGCCGGCTCCATCGAATTATAAGACGTTGTCACGTCAAAAGTTGCAAAAACGGAGAAAGTTTATTCTGTTCGGGACGGGACTATAGTCCATCAACGTCGTGCGCGACCGTCCTGCGGGGTGACAGACGGTGGCGGGGACGAGGTACTCAAGATGTCAGCGGGTAGCGGGTGGTGTAGCGGGGAAGGGAAACGCTTCTCTTCGTGTGTAGCCGTGTGCTAGAATGACGCGCTACCTCGCCCCCGCCACTGTCTGTCACCCCGCGGGACGGTCGCGCACGAGATTGCCGGGTTATAATTCCTTGTATTTTTATGGAAGACAACCCGACCGGCGCACGGTGGTAGGCGGTACAGCCTTTACTGTAATAGTCCACTCCTGGACAATGGCCTCTCTTTCGTAAAAAAACGAATTCCTTCGTCTTTGTTCAGAATTAACTCGGGTGTAATTTTTATATATAGTAGCAACTAATAGAAGCGATAGCCAGCAAAAAATATGGCACTTGCAAATTGAAATCCCTAAGTCTATGAAAGCCAATTTTCAACCCACCGTGCGGCCCAAGTTTTCAGTGTGTTGTCTTCCATCTCACTCCCGTCCCGACCAGCGCCCTACCCGCACCCGCTTTATGTGTGTTACGCTTAAACGAGCTCGCCGTCGAGAGCGACTCTATGTGAAATAAAATTGCACTCGGACGGAGTCTATATGCTGTAATACCAGGTGACTCACCTGCCCCCCCCCCCCCTCCTCCTATTCCATAAAAAATATCGAATTGTCTAGATGTTCGTCATGCTCAAACTATAAATAAAAATAATATTTATTGTTTTTGTATGATAGTCATGTCACAATCTGTTTTAATTATGTCATTGTGTCCGATTGTTCCGTTATGTAATGATAATATTTGATTACTATCTCTTTATGATTGATGAATACTGATAATTTAAAGCTGTTTTGTTTGTTTGATCGTGGCGAACACAGGAACTACGGGTTCGAATTATTATAATAATAATATTTGTTTCAACATCTGACACACAACGCCTTCTAGTTTCCAACTAAGCAGAGCTTGTACTATGAAAGCTAGATTGTCTGATAGAATACTTACATACTTTACTTTGAAGATTTTTTGTTTGTTTGTTTGTATCGAATAGGCTCCAAAACTACTAGACCGATTTTAACAATTTTTTTCACTAATAAAAAGCTACATTATCAGGAAGTAACAAAGGCTATAATTTATTTCTAAAAAACTTAGACATACAAAAAAAATACAGGTTATGTTAACCAAGGTGCAAAATATCGTCTCAAAAATTTTAGCGCTACTTAAATGGTTAAAAATAAGACGAAATAATGTGCTGATGAATTGTAGGACTAAAAAAGATCTACAAAAAAGTTGGCAAGGGGTATATCTATCTATAACAGCTAAGCTTTAAAAAGCGATTTTATATCTCTGAAATTAATAAATATCCAGTACATAATTTAGATGCATTTTTGCGTATGATTATAAATTAAAGTATTTCATCATAATTTCAAGTAGATAAAATTTTGTCAGATCATTAAAATCGTTAAGCAGATATCATTTAATTATGAACATTTCATTTCGAAGTGATGAGAATAAAAATGCTGTATACGAACGGTGTCGCGCGCCGCGATGTTTCCTTCTCTATAGAGTGGGCGTTGTCGAGGTCCGGGAGGGAGGAGTTAGGTATATTTGGTAAATAGGTGGCGACATTTATACTGTTAGGTTTTGCACAAAGTTCACGCGGGCGAAGCCGCGCGCGTCATCTAGTATTATACATAGAAAACAAACAAACTCCGAAACAAATATTTACAGTTCTTACAAACATTTGGTTTGACCCGGGAATCGAACCCGAGATCTCAGCACAGCAGTCGTATACCTGCACCACCGACGAGTGCAAAATTGGAAAATTCCTTTTATTTTCCATAACCTATTTATCGAGGAAGGCTATATAACATCACGCCATGACCAATAGGAACCAAGCATCGATGAGAAATGTTGCAAAGGCAGGGAAATATTATTCCTTCTCATTAAGTTTTATGTGTTCATGGGTGGAGGTAGTCGCTTTCCAACAGGTGACCCGCTGCTGGTTGTTAACCTACTTTATTTTTGTTTTTGGGTGTTTAGAATTACCCCTGAGCCTTCACCCCACCAGACTTTTCGTAAAGGTGGTAAAAAACCGACTAAAACCACACTGTGTGCTATAATAGTGACGAGACACATCTCACACGCAGCCGTCTGATCCCGAACTAGGCAGAGCCTGTACTATGGTAACCAGACTGCTGATAAGCATGTTCATTCTCAGTGCACAATTGGACAGTGCACAGCACAGTGCACTGGCCAGTAGTAAATAGGCCAGTCCTACATACTATACATGTATTTACATATAAAATTAAAACCTTGTAGAAAAGAACGTACTCCTTCTTAAAATGCCGCCAATGCCTTTGTGACTCCTGAGTCGTAGGCGTTCATGGCGGCTGTAGTCGCTTTCCATATTAAAAAAAATTGCCCATTTGTTGCACTTTGTCAGAAGGTAAAAAAAAGAAATAGGAATACCTTCTATCCGAAAAAATAGAACTATTTCCATAGAATACCTGATTTTGCTGTCTGATTCCAGGAGCATGGGTGGCCCACACACAGGCACTCCGCGAAGCATACCCTCCCCCACCACCATCTTTGTCAGCTCTCCCTGTATCCTCAGTATCGGAGAGGGGAGCTTCGGACGCCAGCACAGTGCCTGCTGGTGGGTTGGAGCCACAGTTATCTGTTAACATGGATATGGCCATAGTTGTGAGAGCTATGCTGAGGCCTGAATCAGGTGAGATTTAGTGCTTGACACATTATTATTTCTATTATGAATATTAGATATGCTTCAAACACTGTTTATAAGGTATTGCTATAAAAGTAATGTTCTTTCTAAGGAGAGTCCTATGTCCAGCAGTGGACTATTTAAGGCTGTTGATAATGTTATATATTTCACTTTAAAAACAGAACACACTATTAACACTAGACACACTTTTTAACACTAGAAACACTGAACACACTATTAACACTAGACACACTTTTTAACACTATATCACTGCATTGTGGCTACTAGGCACGCTGTAAAAAATAAACTTTGAATTCATTATAAACATAATATTACTGCCAACTCTAGACATTTGCTGTTTGCTGGTTAAGATTTTACATACTAAAAATTGTACTCTGTAAATACACAGACACTATAAAGACAAGTTACGCTGTTGACACTGGACACACTTAAATCTAGACCTTAGTTTTTTTCTCAATTGAGTATACACACTAGGAACTGAAACTGTACTTTATAAAAACACAGACACTGTATACACGATACACGCACCGGACACACTTTTGACACTAGTTACACTAGACACACTGCAAAGTCCAAACGCACTGTAAACACTAGACCGTAGTAATAAATAAACTGTAAATTTGACCAGGTCTGGAGATAAGAGACAGGATGTGGCTGAAGATCACGATTCCCAACGCGTTCATAGGCGCTGACGTCGTGGACTGGATCCTGCAACACGTGGCCGGCATCGCTGACAGGAGGGACGCCAGGAAATATGCCTCGCATATGCTCAAAGTATTTTGACTTGTATATCATCTGTATGTCGGTTAGGGGGGGTTTGGGCTCTGGTGACCTCAGTCTCTCTGTGAAAAGTAACAAAAGAACAGCGAGTTCGGTCGAGGCGAGGCTCATTTATGCCAAAACACGGCTCTCGTGAAATATATATACAAAGGACATCGTACCAAATACTGAAATAGTGTATTCAGACCATGTTGTTTTTTTTTGTGATTTTCCGTTTTTCTGGTTAAAAATGATGAAAAATGATATCACAATGAGTAGACAGAACCGAAAACAATTTAATAATTACCAAAAAAACTGCAATGTGATTAATCAAACAGCCGAAGCGCGCGGGACCTCCAATTCGGCCGCCATTTTGTGTTAGTGTGAATACACATGTAGTTATTACTTTTGTGCGATACCTACGGGGAATGACCTTAACCTTTGACTCAGAATGATGGTCTGAATACACTATTTCAGTATTCGGTACGACGTCCCTTACACCCTGTATAATATAATATTATATACCTTCAGTTAACTTTTTTCCTTTGTCCTGTTTACATCAGAACTCTCATAGGGCAGGGTAGCAAACCATAAAAGGGGCCACTGTCCAATCGATGGTAAACTTTCTATTCCGGTATTCATAGTGTACGAATACAATGTAACTGTGTGTATTTATGATGAGTTGTTTGTGTTTATATAAATTGATTGATAACATAATATGTAACCTCTGTGGACATACCTTACAAGATTTTTACACTTTTTTTTTTTTTCCGTGCGGAAATCCCCTCGGATACCACCTGTCGGTGGCATGTGGGACTCGAACCGACTAAAACCGCACGCCGTCTCGGGTACTAATAGCCGGGGAACCAGATATACCCTAGAAAGGAAGTCCCTGGTGCCCCGACATACCTCGGGTCATGTACAGACGAGTAGACGACCCCCCCCCCCCCCGTGTGCGAACCCCATGTTCCCTGTGCTCCCTGGAAGCGAGCGCGCTTCGCAACGCGCTCGCCGCCACCCCGGCCTGCTTCTGCTAGGGTGACAGATGGCCTCACCTGTCACCCCCAGGCCTGCGCTTATGGAGGACGGAGGTCGTTCTGCGACCTCCGGCGCCTGAGTCGCCTGCGGTACCTGGCCCGTTCCCGGGCCTGGCGGGCCGGGAGAGTCCTAAACCTCTCCCGGTCCCGCTCCGCCGTCTCCTTCGCGAGCATAAGTTGCTCGCAGAAGGAGACGGCAGAGTTCCACGCACTCTCGTTCCGCACGATAGCCGCAAAAGATTTTTACACTGCCCAAAGGTGGGCTGGTAGAGAATCCCTAAAGTACATAAAGCTTAAAATAAATAAATATAAATTTACCCCATATAAAGTTATAATTTGGACAGGCAAATCACCTCTATTCTTGTCCTTTTGTCGTTCCAGGCTGGCTTCATACGCCACACGGTGAACAAGATCACATTCTCGGAGCAGTGCTACTACGTGGCCGGGGAGCTGTGCGCTGAACTCGCCGCGCTGAGGCTGCGCAGCAACGACAACGACAGCCTGCTCAGCGACACTTTAGCACCTTTACCCAACCCCAAGTGAGTCCACACTTCCTCATATTAATTAACCTATCTTCTATTTTCCGGCCCGACAGGGGTCCATAGTCATGGAGCGATGCTACCTTCGCGTTGGTGTCATTCGTCAACTATGCTGGTCACGGAGAGGGAGAAGCGTTTTTTGGTTCAACAAGGACCCTTATCCAAGGAGCGATACCCCCTGACTGACTATACTCAGTATGAAAGCAATTTTCGACCTGACTAAGGTCTCTGACAACGACCTATCGCATCAGAGTCGGAGCCACACTGTGTTGCCCGTCGCAAAATATGCGGAAACCATGTCAAGTCAGGAACGACGTGGGTTCGTAATCAAGAAGTGAAGCGACCTGTCGCGTATTTGACAGGCTCATTCCTGTTACTCTAGGAATTTTTAATCTATATTTCTATAAGAATTCTAAAATTGGTTTTCTGTGTAAATTTTGACAGCCTTTAATAGTCCACTGCTGGACATAAGCCTCTCCTGAGAAAGGAGGTTTTGGCCTACTATACCACGCTGGCCAGACGGGTTGGTATAGGGTTTGTGTCAAGTTTTCCTTCTCTCTGCAGTGCTGTTGTCCTACGTAGTTTGCTCCCTTAGTCGGCTCTCACGACACCCACGGGATGAATAGGGGTGGTGACACTCTGTATTCTTAATCCGTCACCACACGGACATGTGTTTAGTGATCCTGATTACTTACTAAGTTAGAGATTGTTAGTTCGATTCCCACCTAGAACAAATACTGTGTAAATACACCACAATCATTTGTTCTGTCTGGGTGTAATTTATCTAAAATATGTATGTACTAGCGGACCCGACAGACGTTGTCCTGTCAAATTTGACACTGCGATGGTAGCGCCGTCTGTCTGATCCAATGTAAAACATTCCAAAATCAACAACTACTAATAAATTAAAAATTAATTAAAAAAACATTGTCCAGCGGACAAAATTGTGAATCTAAACCATTCCCAGATACCCTTGAACACACACAAAAAAATTCATCAAAATCGGTCCAGTCGTTTGAGAGAAGTTCAGTGACATACACACTCACAGAAGAATTATATATATAAAGATTTAGAAATTATCAGCAGTCTGGTTACCATACTACAGGCTCTGCCTAGTTTTGGTTCAGACAGCCATGTTATGTTATTATTATTATTAAAATAATACTTAAAATCTGTTGTAATTCCAGTGTGATGGGTCCCGGCTACATGCCCTATGCGGGCTCGTACGGCTACCAGCCCATACCTTTCAAATACTCCTCGTGTCTTAACAGCGAACACACCATTTATGGGTAAGTTAATACACCTTTATAGTTAAACCGCCGTAAGCTTGGCCCTCCTGATGGTTTGGGGGACGCGGGGCGGGGGTGCATTCAACCAATTAGCTAGTGCGTCGCTGTCCGCCGGCAGTGACTGACGTGAAAGCATGGCTGTACGTGTTATTTTTCTTAAGACTGCTACACACGGTATTATTTTGCAACATGGATAATCTGCCGACTCTGCGTCACAAAAAGATTTAAAAACTTGAAGTTCGGCTTACAGAGGTTCTATTGTTAAAGTTCTAATAAAGAATATTTATTATTTTACATAAATTTTAAAATTGTATCTGAATATAATTTACATGATGAAGATGAGGTGATTTTATTAAAATTGTTTTACAGTATTAAATTTTACAATTCATCGTAAAAACTTACAATACACTGACATTATAATACATGGAAATAAATTAGGTTTTTATTACATCGTGTGTAGATTAAATCTCAAACGAATAAATCTGGAGATATCGAGTTAGTACATCGTGTCATGTATAGCCGAGCGCATCACCCGCCCCGCGTCCCGCAAACCATCAGGAGGGCCAAGCTTACGGCGGTTTAACTATAACATTATTGTACCCTAGTATAGTCTTAGAGTAGTGTCGGATCTGACATTTATTGAACTTTAAAGGGCAGCCATAACTTTTTAAATTCTATATCTTTAATTATGAAAATTAGCATACAAGTGAAAGACAGGGTTTGTTTTAAAATGCAATATCAATCTATACTAATATTATAAAGCTGAAGAGTTTGTTTGTTTGTTTGTTTGTTTGAACGAACGCGCTAATCTCAGGAACTACTGGTCCGATTTGAAAAATTATTTCAATGTTAGATAGCCCATTTATCGAGGAAGGCTATAGGCTATATATCATCACGCTAAGACCAATAGGAGTGGAGCACCAATGAAGAATGTTTCAAAAACGGAGAAAATTTATTACTATTGAGAGACGCAGACGAAGTTGCGCGGGTCAGCTAGTTACTAATAATTACACAATTTGACGGGCCTGTTGGTCTAGTGGTTAGTGACCCTGACTGCTAAATCGGAGGTTGTGGGTTCGTTTACCACCCAGGACAAATATTGTGTGATGAGCACGGTCATTTGTTCTGTGTCTGGGTTTAATTTATCTATAATATGTATGTATTTAGAAATATATAAGTATGTTTATCAGCAGTCTGGTTTCTGAGTAATTTAATATCTAAAATCCAATTTTTTTTCTTGAATGCAGTAATAATATTTAGACAATGTGGTATCAAAATATGGTAAAAAACGGAATTTCGTATTTTTTTCAAAACCGTCATTCTACAATTATGACGATATATTTTGTTCACTAGTGTGTATATTTTATACACTGTTATACTAAAATTATTAAGTATAATTTGTCTATTATTGTTTTTGTTTTTACACGCTTTATATTAGCTTCACTCGTATGTGTAGTGACGGATTAAGAATACGGAATGTCACTACCCCAATTCATCCCGTGGGTGTCGTAAGAGCCGACTAAGGGCGCAAAACAACGCAGGACACCAGCACTGCAAAAAGAAGGAAAACTTGACACAAACCCTATACCAACCCGTCTGGCCAGCGTGGTATAGTAGGCCAAAACCTTCTTTCTAAGGAGAGGCTTATGTCCAGCAGTGGACTATTAAAGGTTGTTGATGATGATGATGATGTATGTTTGTTTGTAGCCGACTCCTTTGGGCGTGATTTTGACTGACTTTAAACGGTCAGAATTCGTTTAAACTTTGTAGATATATCGAGGACCGATGACAATACACTAATTAAAAAAAAAAAAAGTTTTAAAAAACTAAAAAAACTAGATTACTATTAAAATTTATTTTCTATTTTTTAGTATGGTTTTCCATAAAAAGCGTGTTTTTTAGTTTTTTTAAAATATTTTTTTTAAATATTTTTAATATTTTTAAATTTTTTAAACTTTTTTTATGCAAAGGTTGCATGTAAACTATCTGTAATATGTATAAATATGTGTCATCATCATCAACAGCCTATAGCAGTCCACTGCTGGACATAGGCCTCTCCTTAGAAAGGAGGTTTTGGCCTACTATACCACGCTGGCCAGACGGGTCGGTATAGGGTTTGTGTCTAGTTTTCCTTCTCTCTGCAGTGCTGTTGTCCTGCGTAGTTTGGTCCTACGACACCCACGGGATGAATAGGGGTGGTGACATTACGTATTCTTATTCCGTCACCACACGGACATAAATATGTGTGTTTAAGTATATTTATCAGCAGTCTAGTCACCGTAGTATCGTGTTAATGTCTTTTTTTTTACAAAATTAAGCTATTCTTTGTAATTCCAGCTACAACCGCGAGGAGAGCGTAATCTCTGGCAGCGGCGGGTCGAGTGGAGGATCGGAGCGCCTGACGGCCAAGGAGGCGCCGCCCGACCTTAAATCGACGAGCTCGGGCTCCGCGCCCGACCTGGCGCCCGACGCGCCCCCCGCTCCCAACTTGCCGCCTAACATGCCACCCAACATGCCGCCCAGCACGCGCCGTAGTCATTCACACTCCAGTGGCTCCGAGCGGAACGTTCGGCCCGTGCTGTTCCTATAGGTCAGCTCTTCACTACACCGTAACATTATCATTTCTTTTTTATAGTACAGGCAATTGAGCAGATGGTTCACCTGATGGTAAGTTACTACCATCGTCGATGAACACTTGCAACTCAAAAGTCACAAGTGCATTGTTTTTTTTTTTCACTACACATCGCCATCTAGTCCCAAACTGCTTAGCTTGTACTAACACACAACGCCATCTAGTCCCAAACTAAGCAGAGCTCGTACTATGGGTACTAGACAACTGATATAAATACATATATACTTACTTTTTTTTTAAATACTATAATAATACATATTATACATAGATACACCCAGACCAAATCAAAAATTAAATGTTTATGCACACAAATGTTTGACTTGAACGGGAATCGAACCTCGCGGGTTTGTAATAGCAGTCTGTTAGACAAACCACTACGCCATCCGCTCGTTTTAGCTCCGGTAACATCCACTCACTCGTTAAAAATCAACGATAGAACTTAAACCGGTTTTCTGTGAGTCCTTTACCACCTTAGCTGGACGACTGGCCTGTTGGTGAAGGTTTTTTTTTTTTGTCGTGTGGATATCCCCTCATAGCACCTGTCGGTGGCATGTCGGACTCAAACCGACTAAAACCGCACGCCGTCTCGGGTACTAGTAGCCGGGGAACCAGGTATACCCTAGAAAGGAAGTCCCTGGTGCCCCGACATACCTCGGGTCATCTACAGACGAGTAGACGACCCCCCCCCCCCCCGTGTGGCAACCCCATGTTCCCTGTGCTCCCTGGACCTGTAAGTGACCCTGACTGCTACGCCAGGAGTCGTGGGTTCGACTCCCATCCAGGACAAATAATTCATGTAATGAACACGGCAACTGCAGGTATGGCGTAGTGGTTTATGATCCACAAATTGTTGTTCTGAGTCTGGGTGTCCTTTGTGTCCGTTTCATGTATGTTTGTAAAGTCCCCCGCGACACATGATATATTCTTAGTGCGGGAGTTGTCTTTTACAAAATAAAGTAAAAATTTTATTTCAATTATCCTACCCCCTTTCCAGCTACTTGGGAGGGGGGCGCTCAAAAACACACTTCTCTTGCGCTTACCATCAAGTTTCACCGTACAAACCCACGTTTATTTCTAATATAAAAAAATTAAAATAAATAATATACTTTTGTTGCAGGATCAAGCCGCGAGGGAAAACCTCTAACTGCCAAATAACGCGTCGATATAGTTTAACTGCACGGGTGCGTTTGTACTGCATCTTGACTATTGCGAAAGTTCGCAATTTGCCAAAATAACCTGCACATTATTGCAATTTATCAAAATTGATTCCTCATCAACAGCCTTTACTAGTCTATTGCTGAACATAGGCCTCTCATTAGAAAGGAGGTTTTGGCCTACTATACCACGCTGGCCAGACGGGTTGGAATAGGGTTTGTGTCAAGTTTTCCTTCTCTTTGCAGTGCTGTTGTCCTGCGTAGTTTGCTCCCTTAGTCGGCTCTTACGACACCCACGGGATGAATAGGGGTGGTGACACTCTGTATTCTTAATCCGTACCCACACGGACCCTTTGATTGATCCCTACGCTACCATAATGATTTATAAATTATCTGGAAATTATTGGAAAATGGTTTTATCGTTAAAAAATACTATATTAATGCAGAAATATTCTATGTAACATTTTTGTTGAACAAGGAAATCGCAAAAATAATTAGGTAATTAAGTAAAAATGCTTTTTAATTTATTTTCCGTAATTTTTAAGTTTAAAATGTAATTATTGTAACAAAAATATGTTATTGTTTTGAAGATTATTTAGTATTTCATATGATTTTAAAACCAATTTTATACAGTAATAAAAAAACAAAAGCAAATTATTGAAAAAAAAAAGCCGACCGCGTAAAAAAAATTATGTACATATTACCGACGATTTATATATTTTTTATTTTGCCATATAATGAGTGTCACTGAAACAATAATTGACTCACAATTAAAATAAATCTGACCACAAACGACAGAAGCCATCAAGACGTTTAGGGTATAGAAAATCGCAGAACGACCTCCGTCCTCCATAAGCGCAGGCCTGGGGGTGACAGGTGAGGCCATCTGTCACCCTAGCAGAAGCAGGCCGGGGTGGCGGCGAGCGCTTTGCGAAGCGCGCTCGCTTCCAGGGAGCACAGGGAACATGGGGTTCCCACACGGAGGGGGGGGGGGGGGTCGTCTACTCGTCTGTAGATGGCCCGAGGTATGTCGGGGCACCAGGGACTTCCTTCCTAGGGTATACCTGGTTCCCCGGCTATTAGTACCCGAGACGGCGTGCGGTTTTAGTCGGTTCGAGTCCGAGATGCCACCGACAGGTGGTATCCGAGGGGATTTCCGCACGGAAAAAAAAAAGGCTACAGAAAGTGCCTAAAAAAATTACATACACTAGCATTTGCTTGCGACTACGTCCGCGCGGTGGTCTATATCGGACATCTTAGTAATTTTAATGAGAGTTTGAAATCAATAAGTTAAAAAAAAATGGTTCCACATTCACTTTTTGAGGGTAGTTTTGAAAATTTTGTAACGTCTTTCATTAATTTCAATAAATAATATAATACTGTGAGTTTAAAAACGCTACTAACAAAAATAACGCAATTTCATATAAATTTACAACCCCCATTTAGCACCCTTAGGGATTTAATTAAAAAAAATAACCCTTTTTTAGTGCACACCTACGCCACTTAACGAACATTAATGCAAAATTTAATTCTAGACCCAGCGGTTTTAGCTGTACGTTGATCATTGACTGGCCTGTTGGTCTAGTGGTTAGTGATCCTGACTGCTACGCCAGAGGTCGTGGGTTCGATTCCCACCCAGGACAAATAATTGTGTGATGAGCACGATCGCTTGTTCTGTGTCTGGGTGTAATTTATCTATAATATGTATGTATTTAGAAATATATAAGTATGTTTATCAGCGGTCTGGTTACCTTAGTACAGGGTGTGCCTAGTTTGGGATCAGACAGCCGTGTGTGAGATATGTGAAAATATTATTATTATTATTATTCAGTCAGTGAATCAGCCTCTCAGTTATTTCTTTTATAGATGCATACATATACAGCGAAAACATAACCCCCCTAGCGCAGTCCTTTTTTTCCTGCAAAGGAATTATGTAATTTGACATCTCCTTTATCTCTTAAGAAACTAGTTTTTTTTTATATTTAATTAATTTAATTGATAGCAAAAATCATCCGCAAATCAAGTATGACATCAAAGAAACTAATAAACCGTTAAAATAAAACCAATCAAAAATTTTAATACCTAAAAAAAGTCGTTCAAAAAAAGACTAATATTCAATTTGAGTGTCTTTAAAAAGACTAAAGTATACTTTTCAACTTAATAAGATTTCTGAGAACCAATAATTAATATTTCCTGATCTTATATTGTTTACTATAAACAGCAATGGTGGTGGGTCCCCCCCCCCCCCACTGATTATACTAAATATGTTGCAGTACAAACAAAATGCAGTACAAACGTGATCACTATGTATTAATCAGTTTAGAAACCGCCATAGAACAATAGTCTGTGTATTATATTCGATAAATAAATGTAAATAGATATATTAAATTTATAATTATATTGTACAGGTATGGTCACCCATCGTTTTCTAATACTTGCTAAGCTAAAGTGTGTATATTACCCACAGGACAATCCCCAGGCTATAATAGGCAGAGATACCACACTCACGTAATAGGCTAGCCTATTAATTTACGTTAATTAGGCAATTTTTCGTTAATTGAGGAAATTGGAAAAGTTTAAAAGTAATTTGGGATAGGGATAATAATGGAATAGTTTATTGCTTATACGGGGTGTGCTATTTAGGCCTTAGAAAACGAGGACGGCCTGGACATACATACAGCGGGTGAAGAAGAAAGTGGGGGTCGTGGCCTATCAAGAGGTCAAACAGATCGTAGAAAATAGAGAAGTGGCCATTGCTTCACCGACAAGGGATAGGCTCTTAAATTGGGACAGGGAGAGAGAGAGAGAGAGATTTCATTTGATTGTTTGCTTTAATAAGTAAAAAACCTGTGAAATCTTAATATACTGTTAAAAAAAGCCTCAAATATTTAATACGCAAAAAAAGCCGTTTAAAAAAAGACTTATTCATAGGTCTCCAGTCAGGCCTTCTCAATGTCTTGAAAAGTATCTTATATGCAGACGGAAAGACTTTATGGGTCGACGCTATTTTGGTGGTACCACGGCGTCTCAGAAAACTGAATTGGCCTTCTGATAGATATAGCCGTAATAGATACCCATATGTATTTGTATTTATTTAAAAACACGCTATTACGGGTTACTTTGTCCCTTCAGGGTAACTTTGAACTAAAATATTATGCAAAATGTAATTAATGTTATAGGAATAATATGTTATCTGTATTATTTTAATTCTTTTTTTTTCTACTTCAGAAACAAAACTTAAGTGTGCCGAGTTGTTTTAGCCATAACTCGGGGTAACTTTGAACAAAATGTATAAGTTTTTTTTGTTTTATAAATTAGAAAATTATGGGTGATGATAATCTGTTTTTATTAGCTATATATTTGTGCGATGATTTGTAGATGGCGAATGAAAATGTCAAAATATTACTGGTGTAACATTGGACTGGTTGGTCTAGTGGGTTCGATGCACATTCAGGTCAAAATATATCAAAATCCTTTGCCCAAAATCAGTTTATATCATCATCAGCTTATCGCAGTCCACTGCTGGATATATGCCTCTCCCATTCCACTTCTCATATTAATAATAATAATATTCTACCACATGCACACAACGCCATCTAGTCCCAAACTAATCAGAGCTTGTACTAGACAACTGATATAAATACATATATATACTTTTTTTTTTTGTAAAAACATACATACTATACATAGAAACACCCAGACCAAATCAAACATTAAATGTTCATGCACACACTAGACTTTTCGTAAAGGTGGTAATAAACCGACTAAAACCACCCGTGTGCTATGCTATACCCGTGTACCTAG